GTGAAGGGATCCAAAAGCTTAATTTGACTGATGGGGATTAATTTTGGACTCCCCTGGTTTAGAACTGTCCCACAAGTCTCCACATTTCACGATCAAAACTACCACATGAACACACAGAGCCAAAATACACACAGAGCCAGAACACACAGAGCCAGAACACACAAGTGCCGATAAAGGATGTATGATCATTTTTTAACATAACCTCTGCCTCTTGACACTTCTCCCTCTCAGATGTTTGTCTGTTGTAACTGACATCAGGACTCCCCTCATTGGTTTGAAGCCGGGGCATCTCAAACTTTTCACTCAGGATCCCACTGCTGAGTGACATCCTATCAAAGTATCAAAGTAATCATTTTAAGAGTTAAAACATTCTGAATCCTGTGTACCTGTTTTGTTTCTACTTTCACCTGAAGATGTTTTAGCAACTTGTATTTTTTAAATAACAATATACTGTACATAGAAAATCTGTCTCTTCTCTTGTTAAACAAGAGGCCATAAAGAGTTGAATTAATTTTGACCAATCAGGAAGCTCCGAGAGAGCGCATGGGTGGGTCTAACAGGCCTGGTCTTCAAAAAGTTTCACTCTCTTCACAATTTGAAATGTGGCTAAAATGGAAGTTCCAACGGGAAGATTGGGAGACTTCCATTAAGAGTATTACCTCTACTTCAGATAAGTAGCGATCAAGCTGCTGTTCATGCTGCAACCCTCCTCCTCCCCATTCCTGGTTCTTCAGTGGATATTGTCATGCTATTGGCTCAGCTTCCTTCTCCACCTGGGTTTAGGCCCCGGAGGTTCGCAAGCTTGTCATCTCTAACATAGTCCCTCCTACATATGTCGGCCAGGGTCCAAATTTGAATGAAGATTTAATGTGGAGCAAGTCAAGGTAAATATATACTGTATGTACCTCATCATGCATCTGCTGTTGTCTAATCACGCAGCTATAATATATTCATGCAAAATGCCAATAACTGTAATTCTAATGAAATCTTTGTCATCAGTCTTTCCAGATTGAACTGACATTCCCTTTAAATGATTGTGTTGTGCTTTTATGTTGTACTATCAGCCAGGCTTTATCCATACACTTGGCCATTACCGGATTCTGTAAAAACAACATTATCACTTTCAACATTCTTTCCTCAACATCCACTAAATCTCCATCCTGTCTCATGCATCTGTTACATTGACTCAGCCCTCTCCTTAAACATGTATCCACAGCTTGTAAACAGTCGTCACTAAAGTTGCATTTCTCGATACTTGAATCCGTTGACAGTTGGCAAGAGGCGCAGATATTCCCAGAACCTCTCCCTGTCGCCCGGACTATTCAAAAATAAAAAAATCCCCAAAAGTGTAATATTTGGACAGATGTGTGGCATTAACCTCGCGCCGCAGTTAGAGAGAAGAAAGCGAGAAATCGGCAGGAAATTCCCATCACATTTTGTTTGTTCTGTGCGGTTTTTTATGTTGTTCCGACTACACAATCGCTAACATTGTGACTTCATCTGAAAGAGCAGATCAGATGGAAAATGGAAAACAGAATGGGTGCACGGTAGTTGCCAATGATGGTCTAATAACTGAAAAAATAACTGAGACTTTATTTTGAATCCCATTGACACTCAGTCTTGTGACTTTTTATCAATAGGATTCTACTCTGACTATCTTCAAATCCAGTTAAACTTTTTGTTTTCACTGTGCTATACAAAAAAACCTGCCTTACCTTTCCTTATGAGATTCAACTTCATAACAGCTCATTTTGGATGTTAGCTCTACGGCTTAAAGTTAAAAAACGGGTGCCCTAACTAACCCTTACCCTAACTTTAGAATCATAACTATACTATTTGTTTGGGAACAATTCAGACCACAAAACATGTTTTCATATCTCATTAGAAAGTTCTATTATGCGTATATGTAAGAAATCCTTGGGAGTCACTATTTGACGCTATGGGCTGAGAGCTGATTATCTATTATATATTGATTATTTGGTTGGGACAGTCCATTTTAATGAACAAAAGTGAGGGTAGTGCTCTCTTTTTGACTGATCTGATGTGACCAAAAATACATGCATGTGAAAAATAGCGATAGTTTTGAGAGATGGGTTGATTTTATTGTTTTGATTTTTGTAGTTTAAAAGTTAGGTACCCCAGCTTTAATTGATGTTTACAGCCTTCTGTCACTCTGCAGTAATAAAGCATATCCTTAAGTATTGAAATGCACTTCTAAACAAAAACCCTATATGGTTGATTTGATGTTTAATTATTGCATATATATCACACTGATAATAGGATAATAACAAGGAGGACCAGGGACTTGGCTTCATATGAATGACATTCAGGACCAGTGAAGGATTTGTGGCTTTAGATCAGACTTAGCCCTGCATTGTTTGTTGACTATTCTTTTATAAATGTGTTTCTTTTCTAATCAGGGTTTTGGGAACACATTGCAGGCCTTGAATACCAGACGACAGCACCAAGTTTCTGTAAAAGCCGATTTTTGTAAGTGTCTTGCCCATGGACACAGCAACAGTTTGTGTTAAAACTTCTAATTGAATGAGTTACAATTTGCCTTTTAATTATTTTTTTAAAATCTAGATCTATTATAGAGCCATACAAATAAAGGTGAGGATTAGATGCAGTGGGGAAATGTCAGTGTTGCCTCACAAGTTACAGAACAGTAGGAATGAGGAGCACAGCAGCACAAGATCTTTAGCATAAAAAAGAAAAAAGAAGAAGTATAAAATCTCTAGCTTTAGCATAGTGAGGAAGAAAGCTAAAATCTCTAACTTTAGATACAGTATATGAGGAAGTAAGATTTAAGTAAAAAAATATCTTACTTTAGCATAATAAAGAAGAAAAAACATCGTTGTGAGGCCACAGTAGCTCAGTGTGTAGAGCATTGGCCTTTGGGCCTGAAGACCTCAGGACCTACTCCAACTGCTCCCACTAATGTCAACTGTTGTTGTGTCCTTGGGCAAGACACTTAACCCTACATTGCCTGAAGCTCCTGCTGAAAGACCTAGACTGTGTCACCGTTAATGGAGCAGCCATCTTCCTGTGGACTCACCACCTGCAGAGGATCAGCGAGGGGCCAATATGAGCATTGGGCGGCAGCTCTCATTGCCACCCCCCACCCCCCTGACCCAGAAATGAACTCTAATAAAGGGGTTAGAAAAGGAAATGAAAACATCTATATTATGCTAAAAACAGATTTTGTACTTGAGTCTTAATTCTTCTTAATTTAACAAATCCTTTCAAATGTACCATTACAAAACATGTTGAAGATTGTAGCTCAAGGAATACAAGTTTTGGACCAATTTTACCAAAAGAGACATCTGTTTTTTGTAAATAAAGAGTTCTTTCGCAGCAGTCGACTGTACGGTAGTCCCAGATTACTTCCAGTGAACGAGCTGATCCTGGTTTTAGTGAGTAAAGGTGATATCGCAACTACTAAAGTATGTTTTGATGCCATTGAGACTAAAAAATGCTGCAGGTTATAAATATCATAGGATAAAACTTTTGGTAGTGACCTAAAGGCTGCTGGGAACAGTTTTACTTTGAGCCTTACGTTCCACACACGTCCGAGCAGATTTATGGACCATAGAGATGAACCAGGAGCACAGATGTCCCTGGTTTTGGATGGTTAACGGAAATGACGAACGTGTAAAGTGCTTGGAAATGATCAAAGCAGGCACAAGGAGGAGGCAGAATGCATATCAGAATATTATTTAGAAAATGGAATACTTTACACAAGTCTAAAGCAGATAATGTCATCTTTGATCATGAAACTATACTGTAGCTTCAGATGGAATATTAACCCTTTAGGTAGCAGAATTTTTGCAGAACTACGATTTGGAACGGCCCTAAAGACTAATAACTTCTGTGGTTTATTATTCAGTATTCTTTTGTTCATTTCCTTTTTTAAACTATGAGTAGATATACCTTTATCTAAATTTCAAATGAAACTCAGTAACCCACTTTCTAGGCAGTTAAAAGGCACATTTTCAAGTTGATGGTTCTGGACTGGTTCTAGTTCTGGTACTGAGCTGAGTCGTGCTTGATTTCTCACCAAACACCCTTGTTACCATAGCAACATAGTGCTTACATGAAAACCAGTTTTCGCACTTAGTAAAAATGAGTTAAACAAAAAAAATCTCAGAACTCCATTGATTAGAATGGGAGCAGTCAAAATAACAGCTCTGGGAGTTCTAGTAGTTTCAGAATTATTGGAGTCTCATGGTGTTAATGAACAAAACAAAAGCTTGAGCATGCAGATATTCTGTAACGGAAAACATTTATATAAGCATTCTCCCCAACACTGGCCTGATCCAATGATTCTTGAAAGTGCACTTTATAATTAGGCCTTTATGTTAGTACATGGCTAATGGAAAAGAACAACAGCTCAATTGGTTTACTGCAGGGAATGTGTAGTGACTGCTCTCCAACACACACACACACACACACACACTTTTATTCCATCCCAATAGACCTTTTTTCCAATCACCGTGTACAGTATTGCGCACAGTGGACTGCACAGTGGGATCATAGGGCTGTTCAAGACTGGACTGGACGTGTTAATTACAGCAGTCACCGGATGTAAAGGTCACATCTGCCCGTAGGGTGCCCACTGGAGCGTCGCTGCCATCCACGTCACGTTTACACTCTACTGTCTACACAAGCAACCATAACAGAACAAAGGAACAGCAAAATTACGCACGGATTACGCAGCAGGATTTCATATGTAAAACCCATATTATATACAGTAGAATTCCACGGGACAGCTTCAGAATCGCTCCCTCCTCCCCTTTGCTTCCCTCCACGCACATCTGGTTCCACTCATTGCTTCGGACTGTTGGTTCGTGGCATACCGAAAGCACCAAGATCTAAAGTTGCGCACAACAAGCCATCTCCAAAGTCATCTCACTTTGCCATAAGTGACCAAAAACACAAACACGCGTGCGTACTGGGTGATCCGAGTAAATGTGAATGGAAAATGAAAAGTTTCTCACCAGTTTCGCTTCTCTCCAGGTCCAGAGTAAAGACGAGTAATAAATATAAAGTGCATGTGTAAAGTTTGCACAGCCCGTAGATGCATGCTCTCCTCGGTTGCGTGCTTTGTTGAGGCGCGTTGTGGCTTCGCATGCTCCCACTAGATCGCGTGTCGCTAGTGGGGGGAAAAAAATAAAAAACGAAAAAAATAACACTAAGTAGGGGGAAAAAGTGCAGCCGAATGAGGAGAGGCGAGAGCGCGGACGCAGGAGTGGGTCTGACCGCTAGAGCTGCGTGTCCCTCGGCCTCTCACCAAACATCACAGCGCGATGAATGGAGCGTCCAGTCTACAGTGCGCACGGAGCATAGACTGGAGCGAGCAGGCGGGTTCTCAACATGTGGCGCCGGGGCCTCCAGGGGGACCCCAAGAGCCGCTGTGCAAAGTTGTTGAAGTATGCATTGTTATTGAAAATAAAACTAAGCTTAGAAAGTGCACCGTTTGAGTTCAAGGATTGGACTTCTGCTGGTGCCCAGAGTCAAGACCGAAAAAGGGGGAGGCAGAGTTTCAGATTCATGCCATTAAAACCTGGAGCAGTCTCCTTGAAAATGTGTGACAGGCTTTTTCTCTGAGAATGTGTGTGATTAGGATTTTACCTTTAGGATTTTTGTTTAGTAAAGCACTGTAAAGTACTTTACTAATTAAGACCCATATAACTTTAGTGTATGTTTTTGTATGCATTTGTTTTATTCTATCATTTTCATTTGTAAAAAACGTTTGAGCTGGTCTGCACTGAACAAATGAACTTTCCAACTAGTATAAACTTACTCTAATCTCTTAATAGTTATTTTTCAGTGGTTGTTACTGGAACATCCCCAATGCTGGACAAATACAGCTTTTCTTCTCTTAAAATGATCAATGGAGAGATCAGGAATAAGGAAAAACACAAATTAATCAAAGATAAATGCTAAAAATTCCAGATTTGCATAATATTAACAGATTTAAAAAGTGTGTATATATTTTAATATAATGTATGCTATAAATCAACACGGCGGCTGAGTGGATAGCACTCCCAAATCTCAGCAAGAAGGTCCTAGGTTCGAATGCCGGTCAGAACAACCCACGCAGACACATACAAACTCCACTCAGCTGAGTGGAGTTTGTATGCGTCTGCGTGGGTTTCCTCTGGGTGCTACGGTTTCCTCTACCACTAAAAACATGGACCATAGGTATGAATGTAATGAGTGAGTGAATGGATGGTGTTGATTGGTGCTTTGATGCTCCAGTGTGTTCGGCGTCTCGCTTCTGTGTGGAGAGGATATCTGAGATGAACATTGTGAAGCGCTTTGGGTGACCTGGGTCTGTAAAAATGTGCCATATAAAGATTACTAATAACATGGCATTGTGTAGACATGACTTATATTAACATTAACTTAAAGAGCGACTAAACACCTGTGCCCAGCCTTACTCCGCCCACATGAAGATTTGAAAATTTTCTCTTAAAAGGGCGTTGCCTGGAGGACTAAGGGACAAGAAGGGGGGCTTAGAGTTGGGCGTGGTCTGGGCTGTGATTGACAGCTCACTTGTCACACAAAAAAAAACAGTTGTCATTGCTGCTTAAAGCAATAGTTTACAGACCAGAAAGTCTCATTCCACCCTTGTTTACACACTAAGATAATTGTAAAGCTACACACCTGAACCTAATCACACTCAATAATCTCAGAATGACTCATGTAATTTAATTTGAATCCACTAGATGGCGCCAGAATACTCCAAACTGCAGCTGGGGCGTGTGTGAGAGTTGAATGGGTTCACATCACTGGCTCTGACAGACTGACGTCACACAAAACAACTGATGTCATAGAGAACTTCAGAGTCAATGGAGAGGCCAGAACCAAATTCAAATGTAGTACAACCAAAAAGGTTGAGAGGGCACCACACAGTGTTTTTTGGTTCAAAAGTGATATTTTATCTAATTTGAACTAAAATGTCAAAAAAATGACCAGGATATGTAGACAGCACTACAATAAACATACTTATGCAGTTTATGAGTTAAAAAAAGTTGATTTGGTGTTTAGTCGCTCTTTAACTGTCTTACTTAGACCGGAGAGTTATAGAGCAGTGTCTCCCAAAGTGGGGTCCGCGGCCCCCTGGTGGGCCGCGAGGGTACTGCAGGGGGGCCGCGGGAGGTCATAAAAAAAATAAAAAAATAATATAATTATTTAATGTTAAATTTATAATGTTTTGTTTGTAATATTAAAATATTTGTGTTCATTATTTGACTTGAATAATCCACTGTAATCATTTTTGTATTACAATGTTTGTAGCAGAGGCTATTTCCCCAAAATAAAATAACCAGAAGAGCCTATTCTTAATGTTGTCTTCTTGGTTATTATTTTGGGGGGGCCACGCAGACCCGTCAGATTTTTAAGGGGGCCTCGGTGTTACTGAGTTTGGGAATGGCTGTTATAGAGAATATAGAAGTCACATCATAAATCTGCTCTAATTTCTTTGGATGAAAATGTGTAGTTTTGTAGAGTTGTGTATGTGTAGCCTACAGTGTATGGATTTCATAATCAAGGCAAACAAAGACCATACCATATTTTAACCAATAGTATTTAATGGTTTATGCAACTCTGCTAAGGCCCAGTCTCCCCCCGACAGTACTATAAGGTGAAGCAGTTCCTTGCATTTCATTGGCCAAAAATAAATTCAAACATACCTAAATAAATATGTGTTATGGTGGAGAGGGAGGTCAACCAAAACAAGAACTGTTCTAAGAAAAGGCAACTTGAAAAACAACAGTTTTTGTCCATACCACTTATCAAATTGAAAACCTTTTTAAAAAATGTAAAATGTGGTTTCCATCTTCAATAGCTTTCACTCCTTATCAAGTAACACGTCTCTAAAACCATTTATTATAAAAACATTGGTGGAACAGCGCCACCAGCTGGAAGTTTTAAGCTTTGGTCACAGGAAAAGGAAGGAGGAGTTAACGGAGGGGGTCATTTCTCCTTGTCAAAAATATATGGAATTTAAGGGGTAAAAAGAGCGGACAGAGCGGGATAACGTTTTTTGGAGTTTCAAACAGGCCAAAACTGGTATTCTTGTTTAACGGACATGAGAACAATATCAAGCTGGCTCTCAACCAACTCATGCATGGGATGTGATGCATTATGGGATATGTAGGCCTTCACCAGACTGTCCCTTGCGGCCAAGCTGAAGCAGATTATTCCTCCTGATAATAAATTTCTCTTTTGAATTTTAAGCAGATAAGTCCCAAAATGGTCTGGCATTTGGGGGAAACAGTGTTCTCCTGCTCCAGGGCTTGAACACATCAGAGCAGTGCCCCCCTGTGGAGAAAGCAGGTCAGGACCACTGTCCCAGTGTGAGCGTCTCCTGGGCTCTTCACTCAGCGCTGGGATGGAGTTCACACCCATCCCCCTGGGTCAAGGCTGAGGCTGGGGCTCAGTTAGAGGCGCTGCTGTTGGACGAGCTGGAGGTGGAGGCTACTGCGGTCCCCGACGACCCAGAGAAGTTCACAGATTTTCGGATGTGTGGCATCAAGAACGGGTCACTGGCCAACTGGTGCACGTCGATGCGGTCCTCCTTACGGTACACTAGACAGCGCCTTATAAAGGCCTGGGGAGAAACGACATGTGAGCAATAGATTCTGGATTATAATCAGGATTTATCAAAAATCTGGAAGACAACTGTGGCACGCTGTACCAATCTTCAAAAGGAGTAACTATCAGAGCGTTACGTTCTTTTGTCAAAGCATTTTGTCAGGACTAAAATCACTCCAATTAACTGGATTAGTCAAATTCTCCAAATGTAAAATATGTTTTATTTAAATTTGTGAGCATAACTAAATGAATTTCTTAATGAATACACAATGTCTTTGGTTACATTCTGGTCTTTACCTTTGCTTCAGGTGTGACTACAGGTTTAGGAGGAAACTGCACGTCTGTGGCCTTCAGGATGGTGTTCTCCTGGAGGATGTCCTGCTGCGACTGGTTATGTCCAAACGGCTGCAGAGAACAACACGACCTTTGAGGACATGTTCATGACAACCAAACCAACACTAGGACTGTAGCCACATTTACTACAGTTTACCATGATGCATTGCAGTAAACTACAGATTAGGTAGAGACTAATTATGTGGAGACTAGATCTTAGCACATCAGACCATGTGGAAGTGTCTGGACAAAGGACACAATGGAAGTTTGCACATTGGTACCACGGCTGTTCCACAACAGTCCCCCATCCCAAAAATAACCAGACCCTGCACTGCTTAGATTACAAGCAGGAATAACCACGGGGAGAAATGCAGATGACCTGTCTTGTTAGTTAATGATACTTAATGAACCGATACTTAAAGACTGGAGAAGGAATATGATACCAATACCTACAAGTATTTATTGTTATTATACTATTGTTTCATGCCTGGAAAGAAATGCTGAAGTTGATGTATTCCTACGATGATGAAAATGACTTTGATCATTTCAGTAAAAGGTTGCATGTGGCTCACCTTTCGTCCGTACAGACACTGGTAGAAAATGACTCCCACAGACCACACGTCCACTTTGTTTGAGATTTTTGGAGGCTCTTTACCAACGACAAAACACTCGGGAGGCAGGTACCTTCAAGGCAGAGACACATGGGTGTTTACGATTCATCAAAAAACAAACAAAACGTTCATTCACAGTGAGAAATGACGGTTTTAACCAAAAACAAACTCCAAATTCCTATGGCATGTAACGTCCGATAAAAGAGAATCTTTCTTCATGACAAATGCAGGAAACCAGGCATACGGCTAAATACGGCCCTTGGGCAATTTTTTCTTCCTGATGAAGTGAACCAATCAGCTTAAGCGTCACTATTTAATTACTACCTTGATGTACAATTATAACAAGGCATATAAATACTATTATAATTGGGGTAAATAACTTTCAAACTACAAAACAAATTGAACCATATAAAATCCATCCATCTTGTTCCTTGCTCTCAACACATTTTGGTTCCATCACAAGTTTTCACATTCATGTATATTTGGCCTCTGTCACATCTTTAGATCATATTTTTCAGACGTGAAAACTCCTACATGTCTCTCAGCCCAAAGTGTCAAATAGTGACTTAAAATGCAAAAGATCTGCAGTTTTCTAATGACATAAAGACAGCATGGTGGTTTGATTGGCTTTAACAAGACAAAAATGTATATCAAAATAAAACGTTATGTACCTCAGCTTTAATATGCCACAATATTAAAGCTAATGGAAACTTGTTCAGATGTCAAGCTCCCAATTACAGCTTAGATTTCACACACAGTTTTAATACAGAAACTGGAGGATAGGACTGAAATAATGAGTGACATTGAAGCCGTACCAGTAAGTCCCTGCTCCCTGCGACGTCAGCTCCATCCCGTCCACGGAGTTGTAGCTGTCGTCGTCCATGATTTTGGACAAACCGAAGTCTGTGATCTTGATCTCCCCACAGGCCGTGCCGTTCACCAAGAGGATATTACCTAAAACCAAAGCAAAGAGAGAAGACTTCAGCAACTTCAGACATCAAGCAAGTTTAGCTGCCGGTACAAAAGGAGTTGAATGCCCCACATACAAAGCAGCAGTTGAAAACAGAACGCATTAAGGTTCAAATAAGGTTTTACACTTACCAGGGCTGCACTCTTTTAGAGACAGATTATTCAGATAGTCATAGTGATTACGATTAGAACAGCTATTTATGTTGAGAAACTAGGATATTGTTCAAAGTATACGATACAAGAAAGAGGGAAACGCCTTCATTAAAATGTGTTCTCCGGTTCAAACTAAATGACAAGCACCAGATGTTTACAATATGCAGCGATGGTTTGGCGTTTCTAAAGGAATTGCAATTCATAATCAATGCGGTAAAAATCATGCAGCCTGAACGCTTAACTTTAAAAGACTATAGTGGTTTTTAGTCATTAGCATTAACTTTCTCAACGCTTTTTAATTGATCAAGTTAAGAGTAATCCGGTTTGTCGTTGCTTGAGTCTAAGATAAAGTTTTCCCATTTCAAAGTCTCAAAGAATGGAGCTAAGTGTGACAATATTGTTTTTTCACATTGCTGCCGTCAAGTTGAGACCAGTGAATGAGAAATATCATGTTAAAAATAAAGCAAATCACAGAAACTATGTATATACTTAAAATTAGATCTTTAGTGGCAGTCAACACAAGAATGGTTAATTGTGACGTTTGTGGAATTAATGCTTTCCTACAATTTGGCCTGAGTGTTGTTCTCATACTGAACAATCTACATTTATTCAGTCCTGATTTTATATGAACCCAATTTATAAGCATTAGTTAGTAGGGTTTTCATTTTAAGAATATTTTTACGTCCATCAGGCATAAAAAAATTGTACTTCAAAAATGATGTTAGGCCTGTTCCAGAAACAAAACTCATTCAATAGTCTAAATATGCTCTAAAACCCTACTTCCCTCATGCACCCATTCATACATTAAATCGGTGAATTGATTTTAACCATTGCCTGTTCTTTCTGTGTTTCTGATCAATTACATAACCTCTTAAGAATGACACCTGTGACACCTAAAGTGGTATTAAGTGTAATGGGATAGCTGCGCACCGGGTTTGAGGTCGTAGTGGATGATGGGCGGTCGGATCTCGTTGAGGTACTTGAGTGCGTTGACGATCTGCATGATGATGGAGCGGCCTTCTTTCTCAGACATCAGTTTGTGCTGCTTCAGGTAAAAGTCCAGGTCGTTGCCTTCGCAGTACTCCAGCACCGTGCAGAACCTGGGGCACAGGGGATTTATTATTGATTTGTTTGGACAAAAAAGAACTTTTAAAAAGTTGTAACACAGAAAGGGCTGGGCTTTACACGATTCCTTTTTACTAAACTAGAATAAGATCAACACATTTAATCAACTTCCCCTGAATTAAACTAGGATTAGAAATACCAAAGTATGAACCAGGATTATCCCAAAAACACATTTACTTTTATTTTTCTATTTGGAAGAGAGGGAGCAAGTTAAGTAGGCTTGAGTTGGAGTATTAGTTAAAACTTTGGCGCCCAAAGGGTTTTTTAGAAATGTTATAATAAACAGAAAAAAGGCAAGTCATTAAGGTAATGAAGACTACTAAATTCCATTAAAATGAAATAAAGAATATGCATGAAAAATGCTACCTTGGCCTGAAGAGTTAATATAATACTGTCGAAGGCCAAAATTCAGGTTCAGACTATTTAATCTGTTCTACTTAAAAAAAGCGAATGAGAACAGATTTGCTTTTGTCGGCACATTATATTGTATTTTCTTATTTCTACTGTAGTTCTGTGAAATTAGGTGGAGAAATTAGGTGGATCTAAATTTTTTGGCACAGCCACAGTTTCTCATCGGTTCTTTCATCAGACTGTGTAAATCATAGCTACAAGATACAAAGAAAATGTGCAGAATGTTTGAAATAAAATCATAAGCTAAAACAGACTGAACCACCATCACTGGTCAGTCTCATGCTCTGGGTGAATAGATTAGTGAGCAATTAGTGAAAGAGGAAAGTAGACAGTATAATTAACTGTGTCCATACACTTTGAAGACTATAATCTAGGTAGGCACTACAAAACTCACGAGTTCTGACTGTGCTAAATATTACATTTTCATGCAACTTAATCAGAATTGTCATAATCATATTCTTACGAGTCTGTGTCGAGTGAAAAGTAGTCGTATAGTTTGACAATCCGTGGGTGGTCCAGCTCTTTGTGGATTCTGTACTCTCTGCATGCATGCCTTTAGAGAAACACAAAAACATGAGGCACATTTTTTAGGATGGTAAAAATGAATTGTTAATCCATGAAACCTCAGATCCACGCACAAAGCTAACAAGAGTGGAACAACTGTTGACTCTAGAAAAGCTCATAGATTTGAGAGTGTAACACAGGACTTACTTGTGATAGTTTTCCTTCTTCTCATCCCTCCAGTTTTTGTTAAGCTGGTGAATTTTAACTGCGACATACCTCTGCTCCGTCAAGTCGAAGGCCTGAAAAGTGAACGAAAAGATTTTTGTGCTGCAGTGCGCCACACAGGTCACATTAAACAGCTGTAATCTTTCAGTATTATTCCAATGGCACATTCTTGGCGCTGGTCCAAATATGCCCAAATCATTTCCTGTAAGGAGCTGATGATGTCAACTCTGTGTAATGCAATGTAGCACCCATTATCTGAGCTACACACAGCGGAGGCGCTTTGGAAACATACCGTACAAGTGGATAAGCTTTCAAACATTTTGGGTTGGACAAAATGGACTGGAGTATCTATTCCTGAATCCATCATCTATAATCTTTGTACATTATTAGTTTCTTTAGTATCCTAGGGACACAGAAACTCACACAATTTGTGCTTTGTCGATTACTACAGGGAAGGAGATTGTAGTGCCTCCCTCTCAAAACTAGATTTCACATACTTGTCACATGTTATTGTGACATGTGACAAGTATTGAAAAAGATAGACTACCCTCACTCAGCTTGTGTATCTTTAAAACAAATCAATCGCCAGCATTTGGCATCACCATAATCAAATGTGGCAATTTATTAAATTTATTCCGTATAGATATTCCAGGAAATAAAAATGGTATGTCATGTTCTAATGTGTGCAAAGAAGCACCATCGTAAACTTAGAAGAAAAAATGTCCATGTGTCTAAAAATATGGCAGCTCATTTTAGGGCTGGGCGATAAAACGATAACGATATATATCGCAATAGACATGTGTTCGATATCAATAGAGAATGGGGTCGATAAAATGTTCGATAGTTTAACTTAACTCCGTCAGGAAAAACAGGAAGAAAACACCGGAAGTAAAGCCGACTCATAAGCGCATGGCATTGTGGGGGATGTAGGCAGAGGCTTCTCGACCAATAACAGCCGAGCAGGAACCACAAAACTTTGTGGGAAATGCAAAAACAACAACAACCGCACCATGCGTAGCATCCATGGATCTATAGCTCGTGTTTCAATGCCGTGTCAATGGTTGTGCACGTACGTGCGCGGAATAACATGTGCGGCGGCAGAGGCAGTGGACAGACCCGATGTATTCGGCAAAAGCAAGAGATTAACTTTTTCCTCGGGAAGTATGTGCAGCACAGAGAGCCGCACGGAGCGGTCACGGGGACACAAGACCCTCAAACAGCTAAACCAGGAGCTAAACCAGGAATAAAAAACCAGGATTAAACCAGGATTAACAACGAGGGACACAGTGTGAACATATTCCTCCAGCCTCATCGCCCCGTGACTGTAAACAAGGCTGCTAAGGTTGGTTAGCCCACACGACAAATATATTTATTTAGGTTAAAAAAAAAAAACTCAATATATATCGTTATCGACCGGTATGAATGACTTATATCGTGATATAGTTTTCAGCCATATCGCCCAGCCCTAGCTCATTTCTATAGTACTTATTCAACTAATATTGATATAATGGCAAAAACCCTCGGCCCCAAAATATATCATCAAGTCCAACATTTGTGTTTTTGTTCCAATATTTCTTGTGAAAATACAATTCTATAAGAGTGAAAGAGTAAAATCTTCCAATATTTATAACCTTGAAGGCCAATAGTTTTACAGAAAGATAAATTGCTTAAAATAATGAGAAGGATTTGTACCTTATAAACTTCACTGAAGCCTCCTCGTCCCAATAAGTGAAGCAGCAGATATCTATCGTTTAACGTGGGGTGATCTTTGAACCTGCACAAATGCAAAATAGAAGTGAAAATTCATTTACATTCAATAAATAAAAAGGAAGTGTTCAAAAAAAGACATTGTGAGTGATCGTACTGGGAGTTATCTTCGTTGTGGATCCTTTTGAGTTCTCGAATGTGCAAGTTTCGGACTCGTTCCAACCTCTCCAGTTCTGCCTGGATCTCAGCTTCCTCCTGAAAACCAAAAGGTAAAGAATTATAAAAACACATTAAAACTGCTTTCAATCTGGCCCTGATGAAAAGTTGGTCGTGTCCACTTCAAAGACAAGTTACTGTAAGATAAAAAACAAAATCAACTTACCTTTTTAAGATGACCTAATCTAAGTTTAAATATTTCTTCTTGCTCGTGGTACTCTGCTTGTGATAACCTACAAAAGACAGATGAAAGAAAATATGACTATTCCAGAAAAAGCAAATTTATATCCATATAATATTTTGGATTTTGAATGTTTTCTGCTAAGCTAACTACAAGGCCTGTAGAGTGATTATTCTACTTAAACTGTGGAAAAAGCTTGCAAAATTAATTATGTCTGACTAAACTGCTTTCATAAGACCTCAATTACACGTCTGTAAACAGATAATTATTGGTAAATGGAGCACTTTCTGCCCTAAACTCAAATCATTTTCCTCATAATCCCAAACACAAATTTGGTAAATTAAAGGCAAAACGTCGGACATTATTAAAGCATTATCCGACTGCAACTTACGCTTCGCTTTCTGCGCCGTTGGCTTTGCTTTTGCGTTTGTTTTGCTCGAAGCTGGGGGGCGGGGTCTGGGCCATGGACGGGGGCTTTCGCTTGGCGAGGAGTTTCCGCTGCCTCTCGATGTCTTCTCGCTGCGAGTTGATCCGTTCTTGTTGTCTAGAAAAGAGGACACATGGGGAAAAAAAGTTATTCAATAGCTAGAAACCGGTAGCTTGGAACTGAAATTTATTTAGGGAGTGTTTTGCTTGGCTTAACAGATCTATCCTGTGGCCAATATACATTTACGTTTGTGCCTTTAATAAAATGTATAACCGATTTAGATAATTCCTCCATTGAATTAGATAAATCATGAACTCTAAATACGATTCACCATCTTCTCAGATCAGATTCAGTTTATTTGCCATTTGCAGTAAAAACACCACATTGGAATACATTAGCAAAAGTCTCCAGTGTGCACAGACAAATACAGACATAAAACAACATTAAAAGACAAAAATAAAACAAATAAAACAGTAAACAAATGTCACTGTGTAATCGATCAACTAAAACAGTTTCAAAACAAGTGCAAATCATTAAAGTGCTCTGTTCAAACTGATAACAGCCTGTGGATAAAAACTGTTAGCGTAACGAGATGTCCTGCATCTCAGAGAGCGATATCTTCTGCCAGAGGGAAGAAGCTGGAACATGACTTTCCCAGGGTGGCCAGAAGAGTCATTGACAATCCTAAGAGCTTTGTTTAAAAGTCTGGATTTATAAAGAACCTCCAGAACAGGAAGCTCACAGCCCACGGTCCTCTTTGCAGAGCGGAGCACCTTGTTTAAAGATCTCTTTTCTTTATCTGTGATGTTTCCAAACCACACAGACACAGAACCAACAAGTAAACTCTTAATGGTGCAGCGATAAAAGTTAAGCAGAATCTTAGAGTTAGTGGTAAATTCTCTAAGTTTACGCTTCTGTTGTCAGAAAGACACCGATACAATCTACGGAGAAAAGAAGGCCAATAATTTGAGAACATTTAATACATTCTCTTTGGGTTCATTTTAGCTGTAAATATTAGGAATAATCATGATCACACTTACGAGCCAAATATGAATGATTTTCTTGATCATAATTGAGCAGCTCAAGACAATTATTTAAACAGTAAGAGCAGAAGTAGCATGTGCATGGATCAGCCGTTGCTTTTAAGACTTAACCCCCCTTATGCTTAATTCTCCATTGTGGTTTGAGCGTACTGAACAACAGCCAAAAGACAAGAACAGGAATACAAACTAATGATTTTACTTGATAAGGTTTTGAAACGCGTATCCGTCCGTCCACTGCTCTGTGAAGGAGGCTCCGTGTCGCACTGTGGTGAAGTGGCCCAGTCGCAGTCGGTCCTGCATGCTTTTGTCCCGGCACGCCATCTTCTCCTGCTTGGACTGAACAAAGACACACAACATTAAATGTAGTCACTAAACAGTAAGAGAAAGAAAAAGAAAAAACGAAAAGACAAACCTTTTCTATCAACAGCTTCTTGGACATGGTCACACATTTATTTAAGCGTTCCTTGTATCGCTCGAGCATCCGCTGCTGTTCGTCTATCTGCCTCCTCAGATCACAGTTTGCCTGTAAAGAAAGAATATATCAATTTACAACCTCAACAAAATGAGAAACTAAGCATTGAAATAATTCATGAATGTACCCGCAGTAAATCGTCTATCCGCCCTTCTTTCTTCTCCAGGTCAGAATTTTTATTGTTCTCTAGTGCAGTTAGTTTCTCTAAAGTAAGGTCTGACTGCAAGGGAAGAATACAAAATGTTAGGTCAAGCCAGTTACAGAGAAAATGCACGGAAAATGAATGAACGTCTGACAAATTTATGGTTATTACTTGGAAATAAATGCTGAAAATGTAAATGCGCAGGGTATTTGTTTCCCCAATTTGTAGTTTAGAATATACATGATAATGTCAATATCATGTGATGCGATCTGGGAAAACCCATCACATGGTGAAATTTGACCAATTTAAGATTCTGACACCATCTTAAAGCTGCTTTCAATCTTGTTTCAAATCTGTTTTCCTTTTTTTCATAGCAGGTCTGTAACAAAAGTTATCATTATCTGAAGTCAACGTATTCACAAGGTTTTATGAAACATGAATTCTGAGAAAAACAGGTTTAAAGTTAGACATTCGAAATAGAATCACCACAATCATGTTACATTTCAATTACTCTGTTATGGCACACACTTATTTTAGTCACTATGTAAAAGATAAACAAAAATGTTACTTTGGCACCAATTAAACACACAACATTCATGAATTAGATGAAAATCAAGAATGATTTCAAAATTCAATGAATTGAATTTGTTTTACGAAACTTTTCTAACTCTTCTTTTTTAGTTTCTTTCTCTTTATAAATTACTGAACATTATATATGTATTAGACAATGCCAGTATTATTCTATCCAATCATGCAGTATAAATATCCACAACCACCAAGCATTTTTAATGCAAGGAGAAAATTAGGTACCCAAGCTTTAATTTTGTGAGCGCATAGGAGACACGGGGGAGACCTGGACTTGCAACAAGCTGGGGATTGTCTGAACGCGTGTCAATGGTTCTGTCCGCGTATGGTTCTGTCTATGGTCCTGTCCAAGTGTCTATGATCCGCGTGTATGGGTTCTGTCCGCGTGTCTATGGTCCTCTTCGCGTGTCTATGGTCCTGTCCGCATGTCTATGGTCCTGTCCGCATGTCTATGGTCCTGTCCGCATGTCTATGGTCCTGTCCGCATGTCTATGGTCCTGTCCGCATGTCTATGGTCCTGTCCGCATGTCTATGGTCCTGTCCGCATGTCTATGGTCCTGTCCGCATGTCTATGGTCCTGTCCGCATGTCTATGGTCCTGTCCGCATGTCTATGGTCCTGTCCGCATGTCTATGGTCCTGTCCGCATGTCTATGGTCCTGTCCGCATGTCTATGGTCCTGTCCGCGTGTCTACGGTCCTGTCCGCATGTCTACGGTACTGTCCACATGTCTATGGTCCGCGCTCGGAGCCCAGACGGCTGTGCGTTCACTGAGCTGTCATAGCGGCCGCAGCTGCTCCCGGGGTCAGAGCGGAGGATGTAATGTAACGTTCGGTTTATCAACACATATCACAATTTTTTATGTATAAAACTAGTGAATTTCACCAAGATCTTTTCAGGAATTAAAGACAAGATGATAATGAAAACACAATTTAGCCAAAAAAATGACACTCGACCTATTTTCACTATTTACTCGGAACGTGCTAGCGCGACATCCGACGGGTGTTCCCAGATCGCATCACATATATATAAGTATTGTAGTGTCAATATAATTGTTATTGTATGTAGTATTATAAACCACCAATTTACAAAATAATATTGGCTCAAAGTCATGCCACATTCCACAGGCCCGCAATATTTCAATGATTTGCTGGGGGAAAAAAATAAGCTGTTGGTGTAATTTAAAACTGAAAGCAGACTTTTCAGATATGACTTATAATTTGAGGATTTTTCTATTTGATAATGAAGTAAGATATAAGCCTTCTTCTCTGTCGCCATTTCACTTTCACATGACCATATAGTAACACACAGTCATGTCTGCTCTGCGCATATAAAAATAGGAAAGTCTCATTTACATGTCAGCGCTCTTAATATAGTCCCTACTTGAGGAAGCAGCTGAATGTCTGGAGAGCAGTGAAATTACCTGTGTGGCTTTGTGGAGCAGAAGAAGAGACAGCGGCTTCAGGGAACACGAGGAGTGCTCTGTGTTGGACCCCACTGAAGAAGGGCTTCCCTGCTGCACCTGCACGAGCCACAAAAGCATTGTTAATATTGTATCCGTGTATCACTGTTTAAAAAAACAAGTAAACACATAAATTACTATTTCATGTGGCTGGTTCATGGTCTTTTGCATGTACCTTTTCTATTGGTAACAGTACAGTACTGTAAGATACAATTTAACATTATAAAAGCAGTTATCTAAAAGTACTTAACAACGAATGATAATCCCAAATACCATCAGTTGGAAACAGACCCAACCATAAAGACTCCACTCTCCATAAATTGACACATCTAAAATCCAAACCTTTGCTAAAATGTACATTTTGTGGAATAAAACAAAAATTATCATTTGCTATTGATCAAATCAGCATGTTGTTCACTCGTCACATATTAATAACAAGACAGAGAGATTGGAAAGGAAATAGTAAAAAGCAATGTCATAATGTGAGCAAAAAACTGGAGAAAAAGATTCTCACCATAACAGGAGGGTTTGAGAGCGAGTGTTGAGGAGAGGAGCGGACCACTGGAGGGATCCCTCGGGCAGGACTGGTGCCAGGCCCAGCGCCCCCCGCAAACTGATCAGCAAGAACCAAGAGAAGAAGAAAGACACCACCAGAGGGTTAGAAACTAGTAAGAAAGTAAGAAATGTTTTAGGGATGTTTTTCATTCTGGAGCAGGGTTAGTTTTAGTCTCAAGTTCTACAATATTGCATTCAACTTGGAAACAACATCATCAAGAGACAAGCAGATGACAGAAGTGAAAAAATACAGCGAGTACAAGAGTATTGCAGAAACGCACCTCAAAATAATCACTAATTTTATGTCCTCTTGCTCCTGCTTTGCCTGGAAGAGAAAGAACAGGTTCAGGGGCTGGTGATGCTCAGAAGAGTAACATGAAAAGCTTAATTAAGACAAAACTGACCTTGGCTGCCATCAAAGTGTTCCGCTTTCCTTTTGCGTACCCTTTGGTCATTCGTCTTCTTTTCAGGAGTCTATCGCAAAATAATTAAGACCGTTAATTGTAAAAGGTATAACTGAATGGAATATGGTGAACATAAATCAGGTACTAACTTCAAGTTCCTTGTCGCTGAGAGAACCCACACTGCACAGACTCTGATTAGACGACTCATTTTGACTTTGGCCTGAACCCTATAACAAAACAGACCAAAATCACAATATAGCAGCTTTGCATTCATGTGAATGCAAAGTGGAGTATGTAAATTGAGAAGATTGACAAACTTGGATGAATAGAAAAGGCTTGCGCACCATTCACTTTTTACAAAATCTAGCTTGTATCCACCCCTATGCCTCCCTGATGATGGCTGTCACTCAAATCACATCAGAATTCAGCAGCAGTGTCCAATCAGGAGCAGATACTTAGTGATTCCAAGCACACCAAGCTCCCTCACTGAACCCTCCTAAAATGGAGGAACATTAGGCATGCGGCTGGGGATGTATTCCTCCCTCTGTCTGTCACCTTTAGATAATGTCAGCCATTTTTCTCCAGTTCACCATATACGCCCCATTATTTCCACCTTTGGAGACAGGAGTAAGAGTTCCTATTTGCTTATTTGAGAAGGTGGGGCACACAAGCATAGTGCTTTGATCAAGAAAATGTTTTCTTCAATTTTTGGCATTTTCTGTAATATTACCAAAACAGGCAGCAGACCTTTGTCCTAAGAACAAATTCCCTTTCATTTGTGCAATTTTATGGTGTCACAAAAATACAACACATTTGTTCAAGGTCAAGACAAAGTAGCACAAACTTGCGCTACTTTGAGACTTTCAGACATTCAGCCCTGATTTCTTCCTGGCAACTTGCTGGTGCACTCTCCACTTGTGCCCCTCACAGATTGCATCTTGTGTCAAACAGGAGGCAGTGGCATGATGCCTTCAAGAACCGCCATTTTCTCTGCGGCAGGAGCCATGCCATGCTCCAGGCCAAGTTGTGCCTATGGCTGGCACCGGGCCCAACCTCGGGCCAATTCTCGCTCCCCAACTGTTTCAAGATCACCTTCTATAAACACACTCCCCACCCAATGCATCAATGTGAGGTACAAGGCTAAATGCTGCCCCCACTCACACCTGGTCAATAACTATTTCTGCATTCCTCTTCCTCCTCCTCCTCCTACCACCCCTGTCCCGTCTGTGGCCTTGTTGGCAGCCATTACTGCTGCATATACAGCCACTACATCATGAGCCATGGAGAGATGCCACATCACACCAGCCAAAAAACACAGACACTGCTCAACCTCCTCCAGAGACACAAAGAGACAAGAGAGACCAAATTTGTCGGTGGTACATGGAAAATCATAGTGAGAAAAATTGGCCAAAACAATCCACCAATACAATAATCATGAAAACCTATTATAAGCATGTTGACATGGCAGTTCATACTGCTCCACCTACGTGACATCTGCTCTAACACAAACCTTAGCAACACCGACCCCAGTGAAGCGAGCCTCCAGCAGCTCTTGCCGCCGGGGGTCCAGGCTGTGCAGTTCTTCCATCATGGCTGCAAAGACAAGACACACACATTAAGAAGAACATTGTAGAGTCTGATACGATGATCCACACGGAGTGACAGATCACATTTTCAAAAGCACCCTTTGTGATGAGTCATGGCTGTATTTAGCTATATGGATGTGGAAAATTCCTATTCTGAGTCATCAATAACAGTAACAATAATGTTGGTACAATCCTGTGTTACCCAACTTCAGAACTCAACTTGGCACAGAAGTACTTTCAACTAAAGTCCTAGAAGGCCAAGTGTATGCCTTACATTTGTGTAAGATATAGGCCAGATGTGTAAAATCACAGCCTGAAAAAATACATCATCATGTGATAACGCCCTGGCATTATAGGCCCCAGAAACATGGCACTGGAGTGGCTTTGGAAAGGTCACTATTCAGAGTACTCCCAGAGTACAACTCCAGAACAGAGGAAGAGACACAACAAGTAAAAATACAACATTGCACAAAGGTTAAGCTTCTAAAAACATACCCATGGGCGAACACAGATATGTTAGGTTTGTGTTGCTCGTTTAATAAGAGTCAAATGCAGAGATTGTCTACTATTGTACAGGACGATATTCTGTGTATACTTACTAACAGTCACTGTAACATATAAAAGAGCATTTGCCCATTATTTTACCATAGACACGGACACATTTGATTGGAAAAAGGCACGTTAATTATCTGACGAGAGTCACTTAGCATCGCTAACACATTGATGCTAACAAGTGCTAACAGTTTCATTAGCAGAGAAGCACCATTTAGGGGAAAACAAAGAATATGCATAATCTCAAGACATAACATATCTTTCTCTGCTCTCAGGATGATCTGGGTGACACATATGGACACAAGAAGCACACATAAACACGGATGAAAGTATTTTTTCGAGGCACACCAATGGTGGCTAATGTTAGCAGCTAGCGGCTGTCAAAAAGAAACATTGTTGTTGAGTAAAAATCACTACTGCTTCGAGCACGCCTGCTTCTTTGTGCTATTCTTATTCCATGGATATACTTACTGCTATTACAGGTGATTCGGTCCACGGGAGGGCCTGGTCCTACGCCTGAAGCCGTACCCGTTGTTCCCCGATGCTCCGTGGGCAGACCCTCCCTGGATGAAGGCCGCGCGTACAGCCCCGTTCTCTGCGTTATGACTCTCCCCTGTCCAGACACGATAAACCGCTGTGCAGCCGAGGATCAGACCGGAGGACTCCCGTACGAGGCCTGGACCACACTGCCAATCCCGAACCCTCTTTGCTGTGCCACCTAGGCGGGGAAACCCTCCACATCCATCTCCCCAGAAGACAATTACGCACGGGATATCTCGTTCCACACAATGGCGCACGACTTTCCCAACCTGTGCAAGTGATGCCTAAAGATGCGAGCGCTGGATGGGTGTCCCTATATCGTTTTCTCCCCGCTGATGAGATGAATTTTCGGGTTCTTGCTTAGTTGCTCTACCAAAACAAAGTTGCGTATTGTCTCCTTGTTTTTTTTCCCAGAAGTGGGAAAGAAGCCAAAGTATTTCGGAAGTTGTGTTGGCCTCAGACAGTTTAATATAGTCCGGATCGATTCGGTTCGGTTCTCATGTTTTTGCAATGTAAACAATTATCACTAAAATCTCATATTTTCTCGTGAGAGTGTTTAAGAATGTTCACCTTCGCTCTGGTCCACGCCTGTACGAAATCTCTCGTCTGGACCAATAGCAAATCTTTGTGTTCACAATACAATTGTATACCGCCCACCCATTCAGCCACTGACATGATCACTCACTGAATGCTGCAATTCCCTTGTGTTTTCATTTTTCCACGTGATGGTCAGTACTTTAGCTGGATAATTATCCATTGTGTTACAATTTGCATAAAATACATGAATTATGCAGAAAACAAACACTCATTTGCATAAAATGTGCATACACTGTATTATCCAAATAGTATTAAAATATGAATGTAAAAATAAATATTAAAAAGACAATTTATTTGGAAAGTTACAAACAGGATGTCACCAAACATGGAGTATCTATAGTAGAATCCCCCAAACTTATAAGAATAACGAGGTAATTGCTGCCACACACAAGCCATAAAATAAGTCCATCCTTGTAAACAGCCAGTCTCTTGACAGTGGTAACATTTCCGATCAGCGGCCATTATTACCACTATTGGTTTCTTTAAAAAGTTTCATTTTTGATTGTGGGGTCTTTCAATCATATATGGTCCGTTCCTTTCAGATCAGGTTTCCGTGGTGCTTTCAAGGACCTTTCGGTATTTGCACTGAATCCAGACTCGGTACATGGTGAGCTGCTTCCCCCTGTTCACCTGAAGACGTCTGTCCACAAGATTCTGAACTTTCTCCAAACCAGCCGACGAGAACAACTCATGCAGCTCATCTGAAATATCAAACACGACAATTACCATGTGTTAAAGCAAAGAATGAACTGTCTGACTGCAAGATTTTCACCTTGAGTAAAGAAGTAAACTCTTGTTCCATCACCGCGGACATAGAAGTTTTCTGAAAGACATCTTCCTGAAAATTAAACATTTACAATTATGGTCATGGTTGATTGCAGATAGTTAAAGAGTGTATGTATTTATCATTTAATCTTATTTTGGTATATACTATTTTTAAATTCCAGAAAGTGGAGCAGCATGACTGAATAACTGATCCTATTGTTTGGCACCATTTACAAAATACTTTTTTCCTGATGTTTATTTAGTCACTCAACTAAATACGCCTATAATTTTAGAATTCCAACTCTCATATAATAATTTCTGGTTACATTACAGTTTTAGTCCAGTTGATTACATGGTTCAAATCTCTAGCGTGATGTCATTCAGAATGTCAACTGTTTAAAAATATTTTCCACACACACGCACAATGTGTTTCACTGTCAGCTGTTTAAGTTGAATAAACAATATTTCACCCGTATACTTATAGATGAAACCGACAGCGTAACAAACAAACTACTGACCCTTCTTGAATCGCAGCTGTGCCATGTCGTAGCGGCCGTAGTCTCTGAGCATCATCGTCCCTCCAGGCTTCAGCAGGCGAGACAACCGACTGATGGACGCTTGCATCCTGGAAGAGACATCCAACATTTTCTCAGTTTGGGTATTTGTCAACTGGTGATGCAAAAGAGGCTTCGAAGAAATGCTGCCATATTTTTACATTAAGCCAAAATTCTGTTCGTATCTAGTCAAAAAGTCCCCTCCATTAGAAATGCAAGATGGCACATGGCATTGTGGGGCTGCGGTGGAAAATATGTGCCCAGAGGTTTGGATGGAAACAATATATATTCTCGAGAGCCTTTGACCTCACTTTGACCAAACAAAAAAATAAATACAAATTTGATTGAAAAAAAACAAGTATAGAAATTACAGTATAGTTTCCAATTATATATTTTTTTACAGCCTTTTCTCTTGTTTTGAGCTCCTCCAATATCCCTTATGTTCTGAGTGTTGCGTCTTGAGGGACAAATTAAGGTAAAAGTACCATTTTGTGAACCAATCAGACATACGGTCCTTAATTGTTTGACATTGTGGACTGAGAGTGACTGAGTGAGGGTGGTCTGCTCTTTTTCACTTTTCTGTCTGAAAAAGCTGATTTAAAATGGGACACAGGCCAAAAATATGAATGCTTATGAAAACGAGCAAGAATCTAGTTTAATAAGATTTCTTCACAGTGTTTGAAAGCTATAGATACCCCCAGCTTTAAATGTTTAATTGTGTTTAACAGTATCAATAAATTTGATATCTGGCTGCCTGAATCACACTTTATACCTTGTGAAAAATGCCCTTATTAACTTAAGCCGTATAAAATGAAATGATAAAGTGAAGCAGAGTTCATACTTGTTGGGATGCAGCGCTGACAGCACAAAGATCAGCACGAGAACATCCAGGGTCCCGTCGGGGATGGGGTAATTGGCTTCCACATCACTCAGATCGTGAACAAAGGCAAAGCAGCGCCCAGGGTCGTACTCTGGATTAGTCTGATGACAAGAAGACTCTGTTAAGTCATTAGCGATTCATTCACTTTGATAGTGATAGAAGAGGACACAGCACACAAGCCTTCTAAGGATTTCACAAAGTCCAGTTTGACTGCATTGACACAGTGAAAATATTTTGTGCTGATCTAAAAAAAAAAAAACGTAACATTCGGATTCATAAAAAAAAAAAAAAAAAAAAAAAAACAAAGTACAGATGAACTAGAAAGATAAGATTACGTTTCCAACTATTTTATGGACAATAAAAATCACTTTGTTCTTAAATCCATGATCCAAAATTCTGATTTCTCACCTTCACCAGGTCGACTGCAGTGCTGGAGAAGTCGCAGCAGTAAACAAACAGACCAGGATCACTGTGAAAAGCAATGGAAATGTTATAATAAATAATTATGTGTACAGCAATGCAATATTTTCCACCCACTTGTTGGTCTTCAGTATTGGGAAAACTGTGTTGCCAACTCCACAGCCAACCTGTCGCAGAATGCATTAGTTAAAACTGAATTAACCCTAATCCCAATAGATTAGTATTACTTTCATTCAAAGACGCATTTGGTCTGCTATAGTTGTTATACATGTACTATAATAAAGAAGAAACCTTTATAAAACACAGCATGCCCTTCTATAAAAATGCTGTAGTGATATACAGCAAATGTTATCACACAGCTGTTACTACAGTGCCTTGCGAATGTATTTGGCCCCCTTGAACCTTTCAACATTTCGTCTTCAAACAAAGATATCAAATTTAAATTTTTTGTCATGAATCAACAACAAGTGGGACACAATCGTGTAGTGGAACGAAATTTATTGGATAATTTAAACTTTTTTAACAAATAAAAAACTGAAAAGTGGGGCGTGCAATATTATTCGGCCCCTTTACTTTCAGTGCAGCAAACTCACTCCAGAAGTTCAGTGAGGATCTTTGAATGATCCAATGTTGTCCTAAATGACTGATGATGATAAATAGAATGCCCCTGTGTGTAATCAAGTCTCCGTATAAATGCACCTGCTCTTTGATAGTCTCAGGGTTCTGTTTAAAGCGCAGAGAGAACCATGAAGACAAAGGAACACACCAGGCAGGTCCGAGATACTGTTGTGGAGAAGTTTAAAGCCGGATTTGGATACAAAAAGATTTCCCAAGCTTTAAACATCTCAAGGAGCACTGTGCAAGCAATTATATTGAAATGGAAGGAGTATCAGACCACTGCAAATCTACCAAGACTCGGCCGTCCCTCCAAACTTTCATCTCAAACAAGGAGAAGACTGATTAGAGATGCAGCCAAGAGGCCCATGATCACTGGATGAACTGCAGATAACTACAGCTGAATCTTTTTGTATCCAAATCCAGCTTCAAACTTCTCCACAACAGTATCTCGGACCTGCCTGGTGTGTTCCTTTGTCTTCATGGTTCTCTCTGCGCTTTAAACAGAACTAAAGCATTCACTCACCTCTAATATTCGATACGTAGAATTTGCTCCTGGAAAGCTTTTGTCGTTGAGAGTGAGAGCCTCCACTTCTCTGCAGGGCCCCGAAGCTGCACTGTCCTGTCCTGTGTCCTCTGTGTGAGACTGATCTGTGAGTCCTTCTGGTTTCTGACAGCACTGAGGGGCCAGCTCCGGGAACTCGGTGAAGAGCCAGTGTCGGTCTTTGAAGAAGCGGTTTTCATGGATGGTGTAAAACTCATTCCAGAACTCATTTGCTTTTGTGTCAAACTCCTCTGTATGGAACGAAATATAGGAGATAGTGATACACATTTTGTCAACGTTACTCAAGGGTATTGTGCTCATACAGTTTTTAAGTATTTTAAATAATAATCCATACTCCATTTACTGCAGTAGATTACGGATACACCTTTAAAATAACAAATAGATATCTTACCTTGTTTTTCAGCAGGCAAGGGCTGGCTGTTCTCCAACACCTTTTTCTTTGCTGCATTTTCCTGCTCCTCGGTCCACTCCACATTGTCCCTGTGTTGTCAAATGCATTTATTATGTTATGATAAGTTGGCCACACATGGACACATGTATTTATTGGATCCCCATTACTATTTACAAGTGTCTTCCAGGGATTGAAGATATACACTTCCAATACAAAATTTCACAAAAGCCTCACACAATACACTGTGGCTGTCACCACTTTCAGAAAGTATAACCCTTACTGACCACTACGGACTACTTTGAACTATTTTATTGCGAGATAAATAAATATTACATAAACTAGGCCAAAGTTTTGTGTGAAAAAAAGTAGCTAGTGGCATAATGTGAGAAAGCTTTCAACTGAAGGGATAAACAAATGCATTGACAAATACATAGTACATTTTAAAAACACTGTGGCATTAAATTGTCCTGTCATACCGGATTGGAAAGCTGTATTTATGATTTCATGTGCCAATATATGTGAAAAGTTTGGATACAATTGTCCATGTGGAATATACAGACACGGTTCAGACTTAATGTATAATAGGCTTCTGTGATATTATCCAATATCCTAGAAACTAATATAAATCTAAGGATTTGAATACATTGAATACAGACTTGAAAACCTGCCTCTGAAGCATGAGAGGACAGTGATGCAGTGACATCTGTATGCAATGACCATATTTCTAGTACTTTTATGCTTTTTTCACGTACCATGCGTTATGTTGAAAAACCTGTCGCGGATCGGTGAGGAAACGAGTCCCAAACTGTGGTCGTTTCCCTTCTTCCGAGGCAGAATCGGACAGAATGAGGCGACTTTCTCCCACATCTGAATCCACGGGGACATGGGGCGCCGCCATGTTGGAAGTGACGCAGCGGTAGAAGGAGGCGCTTTGGTGTGACGTAAACAAAACTATAAAAAAAAAAAAGTACAATAAATAAAAACAAGATATGGGTGGGGAACATAGTCTTTGGGAATAAAAAAATAGACGATTAAAAAGATGTAGGTGCAGGACGTGTAATTTTAAACGCTCCAGAGATGATAAAATCCATGTTTGCGAATGAAAGGTCAATTAAAAACACATACAGATATAATTATATGATTTATTTAAAAGCAGTTCCCAAATAAATAAACATCTGCTCGTGAATAGGAAAGTTTATTTTCTGTAAAGCAGGGTAGCACAAAATGAGATGTCCTCTAGAGGGAGACACTGCATAAGAGTCAATGAGCTCGGTAACTTAACCACCTCTTAACTACAATCAACAATTACTAAAATGCGGAACAATCTTCCTGAATATGTGAGACAGGCCTCTTCTCTGACAATGTTTAAATCCAGGTTGAAAACAGTTCTGCATACAAGCTCTGCATACAATATATATGTATCTTTATTTTGAATGTACTGTGATTATTTATGATTTTTATGCCCTGTGAGACCATTTCTATCATGTTTTGTTCAGCACCTTGGCTTGCCTTGTGTATGAACCAAAACAGTTTGGTTCAATCAATAGGTTTTACATGCAAGTTCTTGGGCTCTGTTGGGTGTTAAAACGAGTGGACCATCCTCACTCAGGAAATCAGCTCTAAACCCAAAGCGTCAAATAGTGACTACCATAAAATCAGACAACATTTATATACATTGCTATGATAAACATGCAATTTACTTCTAATATATCAATTCAGAGCTGGGCTCTGAATTTTCACCCACCTGTTGATTAAGTTTGGTGTCGCACAAAAACGACTAATTCTAACTAAGGAACTAATAACTAAAAGACTAATTTGATTTCACCCAGATTTATAAAACAGATGTAGCCTGGCCATCCGTAAACTCCAGTCAATTATTATCTCCCTACATGTACTGAAAATTGTACGATGGTGTGGTAAGACCAGGCAAACTCAGATTTAGTTCTCTACCAGACAGTACCAGCCAGAAGTAAGTAAGTAAGTAAGTGCATGGCCTTTGACCTGGCCTTTGACTCCCGAATCATCCGCTACAACACAAACTCGGGGTCATTAGAACGCTTCAACACCGAGCCCACCAGGTCCCCACAAGCTCGGAGGGAAAGAACAGAGAAACCAAACATGTTCAGAGAGCACTTTCCAGATGTGGCTACCCCAAGTGGTCTTTTACTAAAGCCCAAAGGACGAGAAAGGCCAGAGACACAGTCCAACAGACAGAAGAAAGTAGGAGGAGAGGCGTGTCCTTACCGTATGTGGCGGGAGTTTCAGAGAAACTACAAAGAATCTTTAGGCAACACAAAATCCCTGTGTATTTCAAACCTTTCAACACGGTAAGACAGAAATTAGTGCATCCCAAAGACAAAACACCCAGACACAAACAGAGCAATGTGGTGTATTCAATTAAATGTAGTGAAGAGGACTGCACTGACCACTATATTGGAGAAACCAAACAAACTCTACAGAAACGACTTTACCAACATCGTAGAGAAAACTCTAGTGGGCCACAGTCGGCTGTTCATCTCCACCTCAAGGCCTCCAACCACAAGGTGGATGACACAGAGGTTAAAATTCTGGCTCGGGAGAAGAATTGGTTTGAGAGAGGAGTGAAAGAAGCCATTTTTGTGAGGAAACAAAAACCTTCTCTTAACAGAGGAGGAGGGTTAAGATTTGTTTTGCCTCGCATCTATGACGACATCCTAAAAACAACGCCCTAACTTGGGACAAGGTCAGTGACATGCTAATGAGTTAGAAGGGGTGAGACCTGCACTCCACTTGAGCATCCCAGCAGACAATAGGTCTGTGACATGCTAATGAGTTAGGGTCGTTAGCCTCAGCAGGGTCGTTAGACCTGCTCCCTTCTACATCAAACAGACCTTAGATTGTTTATGAGTTAGTATCAGGATTAGGGTGTGGCTTACCACACCCATAGGTTATAAATCTCCAACGCGCGGTCCGAGAATTCATTCCCTGAAGAAGTCCGCTAGGTTGAGGACGAAACGTCGGGAAAACTTGCTAAGAAGTACAGATGATGGGTGAGAAACCTTCCTTTGCTTTAAGTAAGTAAGTAAACTTTATTTATATAGCGCCCTTCACAGACCAGGGTCACAAAGCGCTTCACATAGTAAAAAAACAGACACAGTATAAAATAGAGATCCTCATTTTTAAAGGCTAAGACAACCATGTAAAAAACAGCAAGACAAAATTATGCAAAACCCTGAACAAATAAAGTGAACAAAGAATCATCGCATAATTAAAGCGTAATTTTTGTAAATGATCAGACCAATGAAGAGGATGTGAAAGTGACTTGCAATCAGACAGACCAGGATGTGGTGTTGGTGGTTTGGCTCAAGTCAATCAAACGCCAGAAGTTTGTTGTACTTAGTGTGGATTTGTTTGACATCTTTTGTGAGGAAGATAACCATGTTTCCTTTTCTGGACACTGCAATGATGAAAACTTGTGAGGGACATTGTTTGGTTGTGATGAAGTAGGGATAATGGTTGGGTATTAGCACTAAAAGCTCTTGACAAAAGACAAATGGAGTATGTGATCTTACCAATTAATCTTGGGTAAGGATCATGAGGATTTTATGATACATTCTTAAAACTATATTATTTTAATATTTCTATTTTATGATTGCATAATTGGACGAGTGATTTTATTGCACCTGCTGCTGGGTCAAGATTGTGAACACAATTAACATTGGTGAAAACATAACAACAACAAAAATTGAATGAACCAATGCATACAACACGGTTTGAAATTTTAACTGAAAAAAATAAAAATGCGTTGACAGAATGAGTGTGTATGGAAGCCCGTTTCCGCCATGTAAAAAATAAATTTAACTTTTAAAGTCGAAATTTTGACTTTTAAAGTCGAAATTTTGACTTTTAAAAGTCGTAATTTTGAGTTTTAAACTCAAAATTTTGACTTTCTGTATGCTTTTTTTTTTTTTTACATTGCGGAAACGGGCTTCCATAAGTGTGAGACACAGCAACCAGAAAAATATAGAAGAAGCAACATCACATCACTGTGAAAGGAAAACTGACTCACAAAGTGTACGAAACAGGTGGTGATTAGGAAATTGTGAGTCAAATCCTGAGTTAGTTATTGCCATAAACCTCAGTGCATTGTTGAAATCCTTTATTCCCCTGACACCATACGTCATGTTGTACCATGTTGAAAAAGCAAGTGTAAAATGTACAGGTTAGTCCTTGATGCAAGCTTAAAAAAATATGTATACACATAATACAGTGTGCTACAATACAACCTAACAAAGCATGTTCCAATGTATGTACAGTCAAAATACCATTTGTAGAATGTACATTATTTCTAGGTAAACTGCAAGGCACAATTATTCCCTAACACCCTAACTAAAGCTAACATGCCCTCTCGTTTCAAATCCCTGTAAATCCAATGGAATCCTTTGTGGACTGTAGAGCTCATCAACAATGAAATGATAATAGGCAAAAACATCTCAATCTTTCAGCGGGACTTTTGGTTAAAGAGATAACATGATGCCAATGACTTTTTGCAAATATTGGTATACCTATGGTTATTCTAAAATTTTACATATACTGCAATCCATATATTGTCCCAGCTCCTCCTTATTGTTGTTCTGTCCTTGGGCAAGACATTTACTAAAACTTGTCGATGCAATCTAGACAGGTTTGCAGTACTTATGCATATTACTATAGTAACTATGTATGTTACTATAGTATCTATGCATATTACTATAGTATCTATGCATATTACTATAGTAACTATGCATATTACTATAGTATCTATGCATATTACTATAGTAACTATGTATGTTACTATAGTGTCTATGCATATTACTATAGTAACTATGCATATTACTATAGTGTCTATGTATATTACTATAGTGTCTATGCATATTACTATAGTAACTATGCATATTACTATAGTGTCTATGTATGTTACTATAGTGTCTATGTATATTACTATAGTAACTATGTATGTTACTATAGTGTCTATGCATATTACTATAGTAACTATGCATATTACTATAGTGTCTATGTATGTTACTATAGTGTCTATGTATATTACTATAGTAACTATGTATGTTACTATAGTGTCTATGTATATTACTATAGTAACTATGTATGTTACTATAGTGTCTATGCATATTACTATAGTAACTATGCATATTACTATAGTGTCTATGTATGTTACTATAGTGTCTATGTATATTACTATAGTAACTATGTATGTTACTATAGTGTCTATGCATATTACTATAGTAACTATGCATATTACTATAGTGTCTATGTATATTACTATAGTGTCTATGCATATTACTATAGTAACTATGCATATTACTATAGTTTCTATGTATATTACTTTAGTGTCTATGTATATTACTATAGTGTCTATGCATATTACTATAGTGTCTATGCATATTACTATAGTGTCTATGTATATCATGTTTATATGCTATCAATACGGGCTGGAATGAATAATTACTACATTTGCGATTGTTTTTTGTGTGCAATAAATGTATTGTTTAGATCTCAAAACGGTGGCAAAATTGTGACAAAAACAGAGCTAAAGTGATACCCCTCGAGAACAGCTTCATAGAGACTAGTTGTAGCACGATTGTCAAACACAGTTCCGTGTCGATCAGCAGAAAACATTGATCAGTTTGAATCGTGAAACCCCATTGTGTTTCAGCCAGTGTATGGTTCAAAAAAACCGTGAAGGGATTTCTAAATGATCTAACAAGTATTGAAATGATTAATTAACTTGTTACAGCCCAACTCAAGCATTTCATTCAATTAAAAAAAAACATACTCAAGATGTAAACTACAGCACAGTGTGAAATCTCAGCATGACATTGTGAACAGCATTTCAAACTATCTTTTTTTACAAAATATACAATTAGCACAAACACATAAGTTCAGCTCCAGTAGTCACATGACAGTTTTCACCATCTTCCTCCCACGCCTTTTCAGCTTTTACATCCATATTTGTCTTGACCCCTGAGATTTCCCTCCATATAAGTCTCTAATTGCCTTGGTACGCCACGTTTTGGAAGGTGGAAGTGGCTCCTTTATACAGCGGGTTGTGTGCCTGCAAAATTAAGCGGTAAATACAGCGTTTATGTTAATTCATTCATGCTCGGATCAGATCTTCATTTGCATATTATACATCACAGAAAGTAGCAGCGCTAATTAGTTTTACTTTTCAGTTACACAATAAGCACTAATTAGGAACATGCACACTTTCAGCAAAGACAGCAGTTGTGTTACTATTACTACTTTGTGATGAGAAGGCCACTAGTATAATCAATAATTACCTTATTTCCAGTGTGAATGTCGTTGTGGGTCAGAGGGCTGGTGGTGTACTGTATGTTGACAGCCACATGTCAGTCATTTTAGTTTGTTTAGTATTCAGGGCAGCTATGGCTATGAATTCTGTTTTTAAGGTATAGACAATTTATTGGGTGTTGTATTTTTGTTATTTTTTGCTAAATATCTTAGCTTGAAAGATAAATGCCCATATTTTTTGGTCAGGTCAGGTCGTGCCTGTTTTTATTTTTATTTTTTAACCCAGAAATGTAAGTGTTTCACAGCAGGTTGACTTGGTCGTACGTCGAAGGCCAATAATATGGATATGGTGGCAATATGTTTATCGTATTAATATATTTTTATAACAATTGTTTTTGATACATCGGCAGCCTTTGTGTACTTGAAAGTATAACAACAATTTACCAAAACAATTGAACATATATATATTACTGTGACAAGAAAAACATACAAATATCAATGTTATAATTTTCCAGGCGAGAGTTGTCAATATTTAACTGATTTTAATTCAAGTCTATAATGGAATTTGAAATGCATTACATTGACATTTTGCTATAAATGTATTTACACTGTCATCTATTATCTTGTTTTGTATTGATTTTTGTTTGTGAGGCACTTTGAGTCACACTGTATGAATTATGTATTATAGATAAATTTTAAATTCAAGAGATTTCCTCAGTTTGAAGCTTTTCCTTCCTCTGAAATCACTAATTTAACTACAGTATATCGCTACGAAACATAAGAGATCCTTTATTTGTCCCGCAGAGGGGAAACTAACAGTATTAAACAGTATCTCCAAGAAACATTCCTCTTCAAAAGTCACTCACCGTGTCCCATTTGGCTTTGGAGCGCTCCTCCTCAAACTTTGCGTACTCGCGCCGGTCGTGGATGCTAATCACCAGTTTCCATATAAGGAGTGCAATGAGCCCAAGCAGCAGGATGGCCCCCGCCACAGCCAACGAGACCACCAAGACGTCAGCGCCCTCCGGACAAACTGAGAGAGGACACAGGAAAGAAATGACTTCACTCACTGCGATAGTTTACTACAGAAAATACACACAAAGTTCTCAGGAAAAACAAGACTGCATCCTAATAAACATTCCCAACACTCACATCAAATGCAACCATTATACAGCAACTACTAACTAATAATCTGCTTTGTTTGTGTTATTTTTGTTTATCTTGAGAATGTTTTCTTTGGAGTTTCATATTTTTGAAAAAACATAGGAACATGTAGGTTAAGATATATATAAAAAAAAAATCTAATACATCTGATTTTGGTCTGTGTGCGTTTGTGCCGATTTCTGACAGAAGTTTCTTATAAATAGACTTGAGGTATGTATAGTTTCACTGTTAAAACTTTGCATTTCATTTGATGTATTTTGTTAAACTAAACTCAATAATCACTTGTGAGGTGATTACAAACAAAATCCCATCAGGTCGCTTATTCCATATATACATACAACAAAATACACCAAATAAAATGCAAGTATAGCACTCAATGATGTGAAATGCTTCTGGATTAGGAATCTGACAGTCGGGTCTGGAGTCACATGTGTGAGTAAAGGCTTCAGTGTCTCTGTTGATAGTCCTCGGGCTGCGTTCTGATTTGAATAGTCTCCTGTAAACACCATTAGCACTAGTTTTGCTCTTTTCCTTATACTTTAGTAGATAGTTAAGCGTTAGAGCATCTTTACCCTAAGTCTTCATACTCACTGGGGTTGAGGCCTTACCTGGTTCTTTGACCACATAAAGGATAGATTTTCCGCTCTCGTCTTCGTAGTATTGGAAGTTCTGCACACAGTCATTTTCGTCTTTGTACGAGCAGTTGACCGCGTTACTGTCTTTGGAAACTGAAGAGCAGACAAATACATCAAATGTCTTTTTTAGTTCACTTTGGCTTGACACACTGCAAACATGTCTGGAGGTGTAGTCTCCAGATGTATTTCAGTTGGAGGGTTAAAAACAAGTAGAAGCACAGTATCAATAACGTCACTGAACTGTTCCACACGTTGTTTGCAGGTTTCACATCACCACAAATAAAGAATTTCCCCTCAAGTGGATCCGAGTTGGTCCAATTAAAGTGAACTCTGATTCACTTGGATACAAGTGTGCATCCGAAAAAGGTACAAGAAACTGAAAACGGTTCCGGTGGTGTAACAGACCTGCAGAAAACGTGACACCAATGCTCAGCGCCCTAGCAAACTTTGGATGTGTTCTTTTAAATATGTATTTTACTGCATTGAAGGACATAGATTATATAGTATCTACTTATATTACTGTATATAGTTACAACTGCTCAGTGAATTATTTCTATATAATTCTATGATCATGTCTTAGCTTCTATGCCACATACATGAGGCCAGTGTAATAGCAAACTGCTTTTCTTTGAACATATTGCAGATCTACATGACTCACATATATTAACTTTTCTCTGAGAAAAAAGGTGATTTGTCACCTAAAGGTGACAAGTTTGCAGGTATGTGTGAAACTTCTAATGTAACTTTTCAGAGTTAGATAAGGAGTCACCACTTCCTTATCACTAGATGAGTCATTGCAAGGTTAAAGATATATATTCATTTCCATCACACTTCCATAAAGATCAGCACCACACATGCAACATCAAAGAGTTTATCTGTAAAGGTAAAGGTGCACATTATTGATCCCCATAGGCCAATTCATCCTCGGCATTTGACCCATCCTGATGCCGCTAAGGCTTACGTCAGCAGTGGTCGCCGTAGTAACAGCGCCCGGGAACCCATCTCCAGATGTTGATGCTCGGCTTGGTCAGGACTACCACAGCTGGAGGATTTAACCTAGTGAGCATGTTTTTAGTGGTAGGGGAAACCGGAGTACCCAGAGGAAACCTATGCAAGCACGGGGACAATATGTAAACCACTAAGAAAGACCCCGTTCTGACAGGGATTCAAACCCAGGACCTTCTTACTGAAAGAAGGTCACAGCCACTGTGCCGCCCAACTTTGTAACAGAAACTCTGTATTCTGTTTGTTGTAGTGTGTTGACCTAAACTCAATAACGGTTGACTGATGTCAATGCAAGAGGACTTGATGGTCAGGCTGCTTCAGGACAAACGGCCAGAGAGAAAGTTGACTTGTTGAACTCACCGGCACCGATCGCTTCACCTAAATTGTCCACGACAATGATCTCATCTCTGCAGATCCTGTTGCAGCTGTCGTCCTTGATGTACTGTCCTCTCTTGAAGTGCTGACACTCCACACACTTCCTACAGAAACAATATGATCATTATAACGTTTACATTTGTGTGAGTAACATGAGGTGACCCATTGATCTTGAGGGAAATGGGTTTTGTCGCATAAAAACATCCAATACATTCATGGCAAAAATCTCCATTTGTTTAATTCACAAATTAGTTGTTCACATTTTTGATGAATATTTAATTGAGCAATACATTTATAGGAGAATGGAACAAACACAGCATTAATTAACGAATCGTTCCACTTCACACGTCTGTTTTTCCTTTGAATCATTTGTGACTTGTTTGCAACCACAAAACTAGAGAGGTGTGAAAACAAGTTATTTTAAACAGGAACTAATAATGCACTGCAACTCTTTCCTTGATGTAAATGAAAACATAATCAACTATAACTTACTTACAGTGCATTCAGGCATTTTTTAAACTACGGTTTTAATTTAAAATGTTGTTTTTGCAAAGTAGATCAAATGAAAGATGTCATGTTTCATATTTTGCAATAATAAAACAAGGTTGACAAATGTAGTTTTCTTCTTTCATAAACACAGGGGGAAAAAACTGAAACATAACATTAAAAATACAGTATATATATATTCTTGTATACATATTTTTTTCTAGATCAGTCTGGGGGAGGCAAAATCATGTTAATGCAAGTTGTAGTTTGACTGTATTTAGGGAGATTTTACCAGAAGTCCCACCTCCACAGGGCCGCTCTTCTTTCTGTCCTCTGCTGTCTTTCCCTAGTGTTATGTCGGTCCTCTATTGTCTTTTGCATCTGCAGCACTTTCATACAATTTCACAAATATTTTCATACTTAAATACAATTTCTAATTGGTAAAAACCATCTCCTTAAAGAGCGACTAAACACCAAATCAACTTTTTTTAACTCATAAACTGCATAAGTATGTTTATTGTAGTGCTGTCTACATATCCTGGTCATTTTTTAGACATTTTAGTTCAAATTAGATAAAATATCACCTTTGAGCCAAAAAACGCTGTGTGGCGCCCTCTCAACCTTTTTGGTGGTACTACATTTGAATTTGGTTCTGGCCTCTCCATTGACTCTGAAGTTCTCTATGACATCAGTTGTTTTGTGTGACGTCAGTCTGTCAGAGCCAGTGATGTGAACCCATTCAACTCTCACACACGCCCCAGCTGCAGTTTGGAGTATTCTGGCGCCATCTAGTGGATTCAAATGAAATTACATGAGTCATTCTGAGATTATTGAGTGTGATTAGGTGTGTAACTTTACAATTATCTTAGTGTGTAAACAAGGGTGGAATGAGACTTTCTGGTCTGTAAACTATTGCTTTAAGCAGCAATGACAACTGTCTGTTTTTTTTTGTGTGACAAGTGAGCTGTCAATCACAGCCCAGACCACGCCCAACTCTAAGCCCCCCTTCTTGTCCCTTAGTCCTCCAGGCAACGCCCTTTTAAGAGAAAATTTTCAAATCTTCATGTGGGCGGAGTAAGGCTGGGCACAGGTGTTTAGTCGCTCTTTAAATACATTTAATAATGTATAGCTGTGTTGTATCAGAAAAAAACCCCAATATCCAACAAAGGCATTCTGGCCATAACATATTTTTGAAGCTCAACATTTTTATGAACTTTCTGTCATGACCAACTTGTGTATGTACTTACTGTCACTCATTGACTGCCAGCCCTTTTCGGATGATTTAACTTATTTTCAAGACCCACAGAATATTGTGTGCTATGACTATGTGAAATATGAAACCAGATTCTGAAAGACTGAACTGTCCACTTTCATCAGCAAAAATAAGTTTGTTTCTAGTTTTGTTCTCTGTAATCTCTTGTCGAATGGAGGGAAGTTTGACTAAATTACCAGTCAATGGCAGTCAATGAGTGAAGAATAATAGATCCTTTATTTGTCCCACGGTGGGAAATTTCATTGTTGCATGATAAGTTACAGAACAGTCGGAATGAGGACCGCACAACACGAAATAAGTGAATATTAAGTACAGCATACATTTTTTTTTAATCTATGGGGGGTGTGAAGCTCATTGGAAGCAATAAACCTGTGTATATATGTGCTAAACAAAATACATTTGACCTTGATCTTGAATACATAAATGGCATTTGCAGACTACACTACAATCTGCTCCCATCAGGGCATAGGCTCAGGACCCTCCCATTCAAAAGAAAAATGGCCACATCCTGTTTTTATATATCAAATTTCTGCTCTTTTACTGTATTTATGTTTAGATCTTGTGTTTCTGTGTTTTTATGTACCCCCACTGGTGCTGTCTGTACATGAAGTTCCTCACGGATGAATAAAGTTATTTGAATTGAATTGAATTAAAATACTGCATAATTGATTTTCCCATTGCCCGAGGTTCTTGTTATAATGGATAGCCTTGTATTCTACATATAGTACTCGCTGCTTACTGCTTGATGGTGCAGGAGTCGGGGCAGGTGGGGCACTTGTCACACGTGGCTCCGTAGGCCCCGGGTTGGGTGCACTGACACACCCCGCACTCGCAGTTACCGCGGCCGCTGCACAGGAGGCCGATGCTGGACATGCAGGTGTCTGTGCGCGTGGTGCAGTTGCAGTTCTCCCCCTTCCATCCCGCCTCACACTGGCAAAAGCCGCAGTTGCACTTCCCGTGATCTGTGGGTATAGAATATGTTTGTGGATTGTTAAAGTGTATGTCTCTGTCACGACTGAAAGTAGGAAGTAAGTAAGTATACTGTTTATGTATATACAGGAAGAGGAAGGACCCAAGACAAGATACAATACTAATACAATATGTAATATAATTTAACAGACAAGAAACCAAAAGAAAAACTAATCTGGAATGACAACAAGAGAGAAAGAGCACAGAGGATTATGGGAGACGGACATAAGGGTGCGGCAGACAATCAACTAAACAGAATTAAAACTAAAAAAATTGTTCAAAATAAAACCAGGTAAAAATATCCCGAGGCCCATGCCAGATCAGAAAACAGTCAGTACCTTTTAAAATTGTGAAGAGAGAATGAAAAGTTTTTGAGACTGGTTAGACCTCCCATGCTGACTCCCGGAACTTCCTGATTGGTCAAAATGAATTCAAATCTTTGAGGCCCCTTGTCATTGGTTGAAATATTCTCCTCCTGCAAATCTCACTGGTTGTAGTTATGCCAAGGGGAGGACAGAGGGAAAACTTTACTGTTGAAAAAATACTAATTGTACACAACAGCACAGTGCCCTATGGTCAGAAATATACAAAATATATACAATTTAAGTTGCTGACATCACCTTTAAGTAAACTTTTCACAGCTTTTGACCATGTTATAGCTATTTTCCCTTGTCATTTACACACTAAAAGTAGTTTTTAGAGAAACTGATACATTTTTGAGTAATTGAAATGATACACCTGACACAATTGCGCCACAGCGACACATACATGTCACATTACAGAACGTAAAACCTTCTTAATTTCTGAATCTGTGATTCAGCATTGTGGAGGTATTTTTGCTCGAAGTAAAAGTATTTTCAGATTGCCAACTTATTCTCTGGTCTGAGTAGAGCCTTTCATGCATAGACTGTATGTAGCCGCTTTGATTTTAGATGAATATTGAGATTTAAATTTAACTAAATACTATTTTTACTAATGAGCTACATACAGGGTTTTATATTTCTCCATATTTCAGGTTACGAATGCCGATTTGTTTACCTTAATTATACATTTCTATTATTACTGGACCTATTACATTACATGAGTTGGCACAAAGTAAATAAATTATATAAAGTCTGGGGCCCTGTCATGAAGCCACCTGTGCCATTCCCTTAGTGATAACACAAAGAATACATTACAGAAAGACATCTGGAGTTAATCAGTCTAATCTGGAAAATCTAATTCTTGTTCCGTGTAAGAATCAGCCGACCACAACCGCTGATACTGAAACTTTGAAACTTGCTATGCTAAATGTCAGATCTCTTTCTAACAGGGAAAACAAAAAGGAGGAGGCTTAGCTGCTATTTTTAGAGACCACTTTGTCTCCCATAGAATGTCTCTTGGGAAGTTTCCGTCTTTTGAATATGTGTCTTTTAAAATACAACAAAAACAATCTCCTCCAATACTCTTCATAGTTCTATACAAGCCACCGCAGTCATGTCACAGTTTTATTGATAATTTTACCGAGTTGCTTTCAGTTGTATGCACAGATTTTGATAGTTTAGTTATTACAGGTGATTTTAATATTCATGTGGATAATGTTGATGACAGAAATGCAAAAGAGCTGAGTTCTATTAGTATTAGATAGCAATATGGCCTACGTGCAGGACTGTACAAGGACTCTACAAGGACTCCATGTTATGACTATGATTTGACTGTCTCTTTGTGACACGTATGTCTTTCGATGTGTGACGTGACAATGACTATATAAACTGTGTACTGCCTTTATTCTGTCTGAGAAAAAGAAACAGAGTAAACCAGTGGAACTTGAGAGAAACTTAAATAAACTTCCAGAGTTTGGCACACCACGATCCGTCTCTGTCTGCTAAATCCTAACAGATTTGGTGGAGAATGCGCGGCTCGGTTTGTGCCATTCTCTGGATTGTTTTGAGGGAGTTTTCTCTGTTTCTTTTTTTCGGCGTGTGGGAGCGACAGCACGTTATCTGGAAGGGGAGAAATCCCAGCGGACGCTGAAAGGGCTTGCTTTTGGATGGGCTTGCTCTTGCTCCCTCACTTTCTCTGTTTTGTGTTTAAATTGAATTTTCCGACGCGGAAAAGAGTTGGCAGACCTCTCGGACAGTCCTTGGAACCGGTTTGACAAGAATAAGGTAAGCAGACACCTTTTTTAATATGTAAAGTCTGCATAATTGGATATTAGCTAAATTTTGGTCTGTTTTTTGGGGTCTGTCAAACTCTCTAAATTGTATTTGAGAAGAAGTCTCGGGGTTAAAGTCCCTTTGAGCCTCGGGGTTAAAGTCCCTTTGAGAAAGTCTCGGGGGTTAAAGTCCCTTTGAGCCTCGGGGTTAAAGTCCCTTTGAGAAAGTCTCGGGGTTAAAGTCCCTTTGAGAAAAGCCTCGGGGTTAAAGTCCCTTTGAGAAGAAGCTTCAGGGTTAAAGTCCCTTTGAGAGAAACCATGGTGTAGAATTAAAAGTAATTATAAAAAGGGAAACGTTAAACACTAAAGAGTGCCTTTTGTTACTAGTGTGGAAAGTGATCACTTCTAGATTTGGATGACAAAAGTATAAAGAACAACATCAGTTATATTCGCTTAACAAAGTAATCTTGAAAGTTATTCTTCTGTATCTTTTTGCCTGTGTGTGTGCACATCTCTATCTGCTGCCGTTGTCAGGGAAACGGCCCCCACCTTCGCTGCTCTGATTTAAAGGGGAGCTACTGCTTTAGGACTTTTGGCTTTTCATAGTTGTTATTCCGTTAAATTTGCTAAATTTGCCATTTGAACATTGTGTTAGACACAGTTAAACGTTTTTAAACACCATTTAGTGAATAGAAGTTTTGAATTAGTATGTTTTTGAAACCCAAAGATTAGTACAAAAAGCTTTGCTTTTCTTTTAAATCTGCTGCTTATTTTGTGAGTCCATTATTGTATCTCTGATATATTTCATAGCTGTTTGTGAGAATTTTTTCATGTATTTTTTATTTTAGTTACAAAAGCCGTTTTTCAAACATTTAAATTAGAATCTGTTAAAAGTGATTAATGATTGTAGACTTCGTCTAAAAAAGAAAGAGGGAATTAGGCTGTAAAAGTATTATATTATTAAGTTAAACTACCCAATTCACCCAATTCACATTCAAGTGGTGACTTTTGTTTTTGTTTTGACTACACGCGTGACCTTGCTGCTGCTCAGAGACATGAGGAGGCAGCTCCGACGCACAATTGAGTTTTATTGAACCAAATCCAGTGTAGCTGGAGCTAAATCTTTTGTTTGATTTCAAGTTTTGTTTTAAATGTTTTTACAAATTAATGTTCATTTTTATAGAGATTTTTCATAATTTCATTTCATGGCGTCTTTCAAGAAACCCAAGGATGCATAGATAATTAATCACACAGTGCAAAAGTACATAATACATATTTTAAAGTTTAAGAAGGTTTAAGAGATTTGAGTCTTGTTTTTTATATTGAGAGTTTCTGGTTTTAAATGTCATCATTAGTAAGATAATAAGTAATCTTTATTTACATAGCGCTTGGGAAAACCCAGAGCGCTCAAATTGTTTTGACTTCAGAGAGAAAAACAATCTCATTCACAATCTCTGTTGTTTTTAATTTGACTATAAGGTTGTTTTCCAGAACCAAGAGCACACACTGTACAGGGTCACTGCTGGACACTGGACAGCGCAAAGCCCACCCAGCCACAGGTCACAGATCAAAGAGCAAAGGAAAATGCCACCTCCTTGCCCCTCCCCACGCCATTGCAGAACTGAGTGGGTGTGAGAGAGACCGGGGCCATGAAAGAGAGGTATCTGGAGACATGATGGGTGGAGCGTCAGGTAGAGACCTAGAGGGAGTTGAAAGTGTGTCTACGTGGTTTGCATCACCACAGTGTGACCTTTGAGACCTACAGGTGGTTCGTGGAGTCTGGAGAGACAACCCCAAAATTCACATACACACACACACTCACACATTCACATTTACATATAGATACATGAAAAAGCAGAACATGAGAAAAAAGCATTTTAAAAGTTTACTCCAATGTAAACATATTTTTAATTGTCTATCCCTTGAATCTGTATTTTTTGAGACCAGAAATGTTCATTTGAATTCTATATTGTCATGGACTAATTGACCTCTGTCCTGACACTTTTGATTTGTTGATTTTGTACTGTGTGAAGTAATTACATTGATTAGAATTAGATCTGATAAAAACACAAATTAGAGAAGTAAACTGCGCTTGCTTTTTGTCTGAGAGACATTAGCAACAGCATGAATAGAAATTGTGTTAAAGTAGAATCAAAGTGACTTAACCATAGAAAGTAACTATTGCATTACAAGCTGTGTACAGGAACTGAGACACTGCACCATTGACCAGAAGTGCATCGCAAATGACCTGATGTGCTTCAACTGAAAAGACTGTATCTGGAGATCCTGATGTGCATCTGGAGACCAAAACCATGGCTTGGACCCTACTGATGTCCAAGATGACATCTCTGAGATACTCGACCTGAGGATCTGAGAGAGAAAAAACTGGGGAGTGATGTTTATATTTTTGAAATCATACATTGATGAGTGCTAAATGAGAGAGATACTCATGATTCTTTCTTTTGTTTTTGTTTGTCCCTAGCTTCTGGACATCTGATGATCTATTGGACACAGCCATTTGCAGAACAAGAACCAGCCAATGAAAACGTCTATTGCCGATGCTATTGCTACAACCAGAACCTGTGACCAAATGCAATATACATGTTAAGTATTCAGACATTTGACAGACAAAAAATTTGACTTTTTTAGTCTGGGAGACTGAGCAACTGTTAAAATGTTTTAAAATGATAAAGTATGAGTATTGTAGCGTTTTAGTAGATGTTAAATAGTAGTAAAAAAGTAGAATTGTCCTTTCTTTGTTGTTCATAAACATATTTCCACGTAAGAGTTAAAATAGTACCCTACAATGTTATCCTTTTGATAGAGCAGCTATAATATTAGAATCAGAGTATTTTAGAG